GGTGCCGACTCCAGCCCAGCCCACGCCCCCGGCCCCGCCCAAGCCCCCGGCCCAGCCTCCGCCCAGTCCGCCTCCGCTGGTCCCAGTCCGACCGACTCGCCCATGCTCGCCCCGACGCCGCGCGACCTCGGACTCGGCCTTGCGCCATGCCTTGGCCGCGCGTTGGCCAACGGCACTCCAGCAGTCACCCCCCCGCTCTCGCTGGGCGGCGGGTACAGTCTTGGCGCGGCGTCGCCTGGCACTCCCGACACCCCCAATTCTGCCAGCGCGGTCGCCACCGTGGCCACTACTGCTGCAGCGGGCACGACCACCCCAGCCAGCTACTCCCGTCCGCCGTCAACCCGTGCCCTCAGCCTGCAGCTCGGTCGGCGCACCAGCGCAGCCTCGCTCCGCTCCGAGGACGGCGTCGACGTGTCCAAGCTCGACCTGCGCCCCGTGTGCACCCCTCCAGCTGGCAGCGCGCCGCTCCCCGATTTCCCCGCGCATGCCCCGGCCGTGCACAACATGCATGGCGCGGCGCATAATGGTCAGCACCACAATGGCCACCCCATCCCCATCGGTTCCCCTGGCGCGGCACTTCGGCACCGCAGGGCGAGTTCGACGTGTGGACGCAGTGTCAGTGGGAGCCCGAGTTCGAACGGCACGGGGGCAAACACGCCCACTGACGGGTCGTCGCACGGCACACCAGCCCTCCCGCACAGCAATGCAAGCCCCGGAGGCACCCCCGTTGTCGCCCCGCTCCCGCTCCCACTCGCGGGGGCGCCCACCCTCGCCGAGACGGGTATGCGTCTCTCGCCGGACAGTTCGCACCCGAGCGGACAGCTCGAGCGCAAGTCGCCGCGGCCGCGGCTGGTGCGCCTCGACTCGTTTGGCGGCGAGGGGCTCGAGCGCAAGCCGAGTACGCGCCGGGCGAATCTGGATGAGCATGAGCATGAGGATATCCCCGAGGGTGTGATTGTATGATGCGCCTGCTGATGCGCTCCCCGCTTTAGTTTCTGTATTGTTGATCCAATCCCACCGCCGCTCCTGGCTGCCCCCCCCCCCCCCGTAGACCATAGCGTAAGCTCCCACATTATCAGTTACCAAGACTTTGTACAAAGATATACCATATAACGAGCCTGTGACGATGCATATAGTGACACTGAGAACGCTGGAGCAAAAGGCAAACCAGAGTGGCACTCCCTTTAGTGCTGCACAAGTCCCTCCATCGCCACTTCCACACTGTATCCTCATGCATTCCGCAGTGTGACCTTGACCGTTGTACTAGAGAAGCATTGAGCGGACAAAGCGGACAGCAAGCATCGCTCAGCCTGTGCGATAGGTTTGCCATCCAGTGGCGTCACAGTGAGACGGTCGGTTCTTCTTGTGTGTCTTCTTTCTGCAAGCTGGAAGCACTGGGTCTTGGGATCTCGGGGGACAGATGCTTTAGGATCGCATTGTACATCTGTACACTGAATGCAGTCCTGGCGTCCCCATCCTCCCACATTTGACAATGCCTTGCACCCACACCACTCACACTCACGCGCACGCGCACCCCGTCGACTTTCGGCAGATTGATCCTGCTCGCCAGCCTTGCCCCAACACTCCAGATGGTTAGTCCGTTTAACATAATACCCTCCATTTCCCCAAGACTCGCAATGGGACAGACAGGCTTACTTGTGCCACAGGAATCCACACATGGGTGTTCAACGCCCAAGACCCCATGATGTCGCATTGCAGCGCTTGCCAGGTCTTCTTCCTTTCTTAGAAAGAGATACCTTTCATATCACAGCGTTGCACGGAGTACAGTGTGTGGCACCGCAGCACGTATGAAGTCTGACGCATATCCAAGCCCAAGTCGAGTGCGATGTGCAACAGTAGGCCCACACTCATGCCACCGGTTAAAGTTTGTTTTAATCTTTCATTTTCTCATATTTTTCTGGATTTTAACATCTGCCTTTCGAAATCCTCTTGCATTCTCGCTTGCAGCTTGCATCTTTGATATCTCTGGTGCAGTAGGAACACATTCTCGCCCTTGTCTGGGGTGGTGTGCAGTACAGATACGCATTCATGGATACTACGAGATTTTTTTTTGTTTGTTTGTTTTTTTCTTGTCTACTGGTCCTACGTGACATGCATTTGCGCTCAAACATGGCACACGGAAAGGTTGCAGTGCTTGCAGATGAAACACTGGTAGGCGCAACTCCACTCGAACACGTGCCGGCCTGTGTGGTGAGTTAGCATGCGCAAAAGGTACAAACAGAGCCGAGCCTTGGTACCAACCATTATTCTTGTTGCAAGGGGGGACTGGAATCATGTGGTCGCGAGAGTCGACGGGGTGGGAGATGGTGGTGGTGGTGGTGGTGGTGTTGATAGCCATGGTGCAAGTTGTGCAAGTCTGATGACGGACATTGTACATCTCTTCTCGCTCGTTTATGTATTGAGCGAGATGGCCACGAAATGCCTGTCGAGCGGCACTGGGACGCCGTCATGTTCGCAAGACCGGAGGTGTGAGACGGGACAACTGTGGAATGAGCGAGTGCCAAACGCCACAGTCGGTGTTCATGGCCCCGCATGCCGCAACGGCCGTACTGATTACCCAAAGTATGCAAGCAGGCTCCATTATGTTGTTGCTCCGTGCATCTCGCACACAAAGTGAATGAATGGTGATTCGATTCTCACCCACCAGCCAGGAGTCATGTGGGACGCGCCACGCCGTTGGCGGTGTTGCTCAGTCCGCCCCACTACGAGGTGAGCGATATGGAAGTTGGAGTAGCTTACTTTGTACATGCATGGCTGGTCAGAGTGGACATGGCGGTCTCCAGCGGCCAGGTCCTTCGAGACTGGAAGGAAGCAACAGCAACACAGCTACCACCTCTACCTCTGGCGACAATGCCTCTCAGTTTTCTCAGCTTCCCCAAGGGCCACCGCCCCAACTACCCCAAGGGTGGTTAGTGATTGCACAGTCACTGTCTTGATTCCTGCGTGGGTGTACTGGCTCGCAACTCGTACCACGCAAGTGCAACTCTATGCCCAACTTGGTTGATTGCCGCCCCACGTGCACCGAGTGGTACCGCACCTCGGTTCCCGACCCGGAGTGATCCTTTCCGATGTGAGCCCTGTCGGCATGTCCTCTACTCTACCCCGCAGGCAAGTGATGCAAGACCTTAGCGGCGAGTCAAGGGCGGAAGAGGACAGAGAGCGTCTGTGTCCAAACAGTGTCATGTTTCTGACAAGAACGCAAGTGTGCATTGTCCATTGACTGCCGAGACCGCAGTGGTGGGCATGCATGAATATTATATAGACCCGGGGACGCAACCAACATCAAAGCCGCGTGTCCGTACCGCAGCTGTCCTCCAAATCAACAACATGGTCGCCACGTCGCGCGCGCTCTTCAAGCTCGTAGGCCAACCAGGATGAGGTCCCGCGGGGCGTCGATCGCTCAGCTCGGCCCCTCCCCACCTCCCCACCTATCTACCCGCAGCGCAGCAGAAGGAGAGCGAGAAGCAACAGACAGTGCCCAACCTCTCACAGCAATTCCAATCAGCGCAGCACCCGCAGTGGCACTGCCCGCTGCCGCACGGGGGGTCGTCGTACTCTGGTTCGTGCTGCTGCCGGTTCTTCATCCCATGCCCGGCGCCGGCGGCAGCGGTGGTGGTCTTGTCATTCGCAGACGCGCTTGATGAGCGCGACATGGCGGGCGCGAGGGCCTGGGCGGGGTCAGCGGCGTGTTAGTTGTCAGTAGGGTCGATGGGCAGCCAGCAGCCAGCATGACATGGCATGACTTGCTTGTTTGCCTCTTGGACGTACCGGCTGCGCAGTGATGAAGTCGTTTGTGCTACTGGGTCAGGAACGGGAAACATCAGGATTGGGATCCAGCAATCCACAGCGTACGCGCTAGTCCTCCGCGCAGTACGCACCTGTTGTCGTTGGCGGACATGATGATACAGCTACTGCTGTCCCGAGTAGATGACAAGATGAGATACAGAGGATGACAAGATGTACAAAGTGGATCTATAAGATGTATCAACAAGACATCGGGGGGGGGGGAGGGCGGGATGATCTCAGATCTCAAGGGGATCTAGGATCTTGGCACACCGCCCCGCGTCCTGGTCTAATTCAAATGGCCGATTGTTGGAGCATGAAACCCCCAAGAGGGTCTCACACCATGGCAGTCACTCCCGCAAACACAGCCGCCACCAGCCACCCAACGTGCACGCGGCGGGGTGCTGCGCCAGACGCGGTGCCGCCACTACCGCCACCACTGCCGCTTCCGGCCTTGGGTCGCCCATCCTCGCAGGGGAAGCCATACCACGGTTGGTCGCGCCAGCAGTACCGGCTGTACTTTGCGTTGGGGACAGCACCTGCAATGGACGCCTTGAGGCGGTCGGCCGAGATGCGCTTCTTGGGTGTCAAGCCCGTCCAGGACGTGCTCGCCCAGCTGTCCTGCGCGTACCCTGTTGCGACGTCGTTTTCGCCCTTGATAATGAACTGGTTCTTGTCGACGTCGGCTTGGGTGCCGACCAACACGGTGGTGATGTTCTTTTCGCCGTTGCGGTCCCTGGCCCACGGAACAAACTTGGGTATGAACGTGTACTTGTTTGTGACATTGTCCCACTTGTAACCCGTCATCGGCTGCAGGCTCGAGACATTGCTCGTGTCCACGTTGGGCAGCACCATTGGCACGTCGACGTTTTGGGTCCCCATGTACTGGAGGTTGGGCGAGGTCCACCCCGGCGACTTTGTCTTGTCGTACCACGGGCAGTCTGTTGGCTTGTCGATCGGCCCGTCCCAGTCCCAGCGGGGGTTGCAGCCGGGGAGGTGCTCCAGAGGCCGATAGTAGCCCACATCCTCGGCGGGAATCTGGCTCTGCATGCGGCAGTTTTGCAGCTCGAGGTCGGGCCAGAACTGGAGCAGGCCGTCGAATGCCGGGCAGTCTTCGAGTTTCTCCCCGACATAGAGGCAGTGGTCGATTGCATTCTGCAGCACGTCCTCGTCCCAACCGGCGATAAAGTCCGAGTGCCAGGTAAGGCCAGTCGTGTCGCCGTTGGACAGGATAAAGTTGGGCTTGTCGTGCCGCCACTCGCGCGTCATGCGGTCGTCGAGGTACCAAAACGTCTCCATGAAGAGCATGGGGTACATGATCGGGTGCGATTCCGGACATGTGCGCGAGTTGATGGCCCAGTCCTCGTTCTCGACCATCCACGTCATGTGGCTAAAGTGGTCCCACGAGTCGAGCGACTGGTTTGCCCACCCGCAGTTCGGGAAATAGACGTTCAACTGGGCATAGTTTTGACCGGGCAGCTGTGGGTGGTGCGTCCCGTTCGGTAGGTACTGCTGGTTGCTGACCGGCTGGGAGAGGTAGGCGTCGAGCGTGAGCCGCACGCCTTGCACCTGTATTGCCCCCGGGTCGCGCCGCGTCGCCGTGCCACTAATCATGCGCAGGCCCTTTGGGAACGCAGTGATCGGTGCTGTCCGGTTATGCAGCATGTAGTAGATCTTGCTCGCTCCTGGAATCGCGCTGTACGTGTCGTTTTGGTTGATATAGTAGAGAATGGGCGACCAGTAGTTGGACTTGTCGGCCGTGACTTTTACTGTCGTGCACTCGGACTTGTCATTGTCGTCTGGCGTGTTCATCAGGCCTGGGACTGTTAGATATAAACGAACTACGCAAGGATCAAGATCTTAGACTCACTTCTAAAGCCCGAGCCGCCAAACACCTTGTGCACATGCCCAGCGACCTCGCCGGGGGCCACGATCGGGTCCATGCGCGAGATGGTGAGCATGCCCGACGAGCCGAGCACAAAACGGCCATCGATGGACACCGGCGCGTCTTTGGATGTTGGAGCGGCGCTGGCGAGGGCGACTAGCGCAGAGAGCGCGGCTAGTAACCGCATGTTGGAGGGAGGGATAGAGGGATAGAGAGAGAGAGAGAGAGAGAGAGAGAGAGAGGAGGGAGAAAGTAAGTAGTAGGTGGTGAGACTCTAGAGTCAAAAGGTTGTCGGCATCAAGTTGCGGTGCACTTTAAAATCAACGAGGTTCGGTTGAGATTATTCTAGACCTTGGGTTGGCTGGAAACGTGCTCATGCCGCCGGCGGTGCGCGGCGAGTCTGCAAGCTGCAAAGCTCGGCCGCTCGGAGCGCGGTGCCGGCTGCGGAGTTGCTCAAAAATCCTTCCCCCTCAACCCCAGCCTCGGTGCAATGACGTATGGGCCATTACCCAAGTGGCCAAGTGATCTTACTCGCCACCGCCAAACTCGTGCTCCCGCTGGTTCCCGCTCCCAGGTTGCTGGGTGTATGTATCCCTAGAGTGAGTGTTACTATAGTTGCATGCAGCAATGAGCATGGCTGAACTCTGATGGAAGAAGAGCTTGAGATGGAGCCATAGACCTGCCTCAACTGGAACAGGAGCTCGCACAGATTGCACCAGTGAGAACGCGACTTAAAGAGTTCGGCAGTCGCACACGCGTTCCTTATACAGCCTGCTTGCCCTTTAGGACTCGACTGGCACTGGCTCGCTCCTGGCTGCTCGCTGTATATCGGCCCGTGTCATGCCTACGTCCAATCTACACCGCCACAGTCCGCAGCAATAATGACATCGACATGACTTCGTTGTCGCTTATCAAACAAACTAAACTCCATCAACTCTAAAAGATTGTTCGTGATAACACAGCTCCAAAACGTTCTCGAAGGAAGGGGGGCGCAAGGGGGGGCGCAAGGGGCGTGAAAATCAGGCACGCCCTTGGCTGACTGATTGGATCTGTTACGTAAACGACCGGTGGCATCATGCACACCGCACCATTACATCAATTACATCATCTGGTCTAGACGAGGACGACAGCGAGCTCGTCGTCGCGTACAGACAGGTCTCTGACGCATCAACGAGTCGAATCACTCACTCGACGAGCGAGAGGTCGAGCTCCTGGTGCACAGCCGTAACAGTCATGTTCGTGAGGTTGGCGTACTAGGGATTGTCAGCTGGTGGCTTTGGGGGGGCCGCAACTAACCTTGCCGATGAGTGCCTGTGTTCCATCCTTGATCTCATTGTACGTGTGCAGGAGGCGGATGTGCCGCTGGACAATCGCGTCGGCGTCGCAATCTGGGCTGATCATGTGTGAGCAGCTAGCCTGGCAACGCTCGTCAGCCGGGAAGAACTTACCCCAGCTCGGCCTCGAGGCGGGCGACCTCGGCCTGGAGGACCATGACGCGGGGGTTGCCCGTGGGTCCCATCATTTCGTCCTGCGAGGTTAGGAGTGTTCCAGGTGTGGGTATGAGGTGAGTCACGTGCTTTCTACTAACGCGGGAGAAGACCATTGTGAGTCCAGTAGAGTCGCTAGGGGTGGTTGGTGGACGCCGTTGAGTGAGTCAGTGATGGTGTCAAGAGGGTGAGTGATGGTGTCAAGAGAGTGAGTGATGGTGAGGAAACAACATCTGACAGCGACCACGACTGCAGATAAGAGAGATCTGGTGTGGTGGGGAAAGGCGAGGGAAGGCGGGGGATCGGGGGAAGGTGCAGATCGTCTGGCCAGAGCGATCACATCACGCTCCTTCGTTCTGTGGACCTCCACCTCCACCACGCCATTCCAACAAACCGACAACAACACGAGTTGACTACAACATCCACTTGCTGTCCACTCCTCAGTCCTCATATCCAGCATTCTCGCCCGTCATGTGCGACACCCCACCCAACTGGGAAACAATACAGCTGCCCCCAGAGCACATCCTGCAGCATCGTACGCTGAAACAATGTTGGGCTGAAACTGACGAACAGTAACAGACGCACACTGCCATCCCACCGACGTCGACCGCTCGCAGGAAGACTACCATGCGGTCGGTCTAGGCGGTCTGGCTGCCATGGCAACCGCCGATGACCAGCATCTCGTTGCAGGACTAAGCGCGGCGCGGCCGTGGAACATCGATGCGCCCGGCCCGAGCCGCCAACACCGTGGCCCACGCGTCGTCGCTGCGTTCGGTTAGTTTAGAAACAGTCGACCACGCTGACTGCAGGCTACCACCCGTGGTTTGTGCATCGCTTCTCGCTCCAAGATCCCCCGCCACCAAAGGAGGAGCACTACCGCGCAGTGTTGACGCCGCGGCCGGCACAGGAGGACGCGTTCGTCGCGCTGCTCCCGCACCTGCCCGAGCCCGAGGCATTTGCCCCTCTGCTGCAAGGTGTACGCGACAGCGTGATGCGTGAGCAGGCGGCCGGAAGGCTCGTGCTTGTTGGAGAGATTGGCTTGGATGCGTTTGCACGTGTGCGCATTCGCCCAACCCATTCGGCGGCCAACGATGCAGAAGGGGCCCAGACACCCGCCGAAGCCGTCCTTGGGCTGCGCAACAGGCTCTCGCCGTTCAAGACGACACTCTCCCACCAAGCCGCAATCGCCCGCTTGCAACTCGACATTGCAATCACCCTCGCTGTCCCGGCCAGCATACACTGCGTCAACGCCCCCGGCGCAACCCTCGACCTCCTCCAGCGCGCGCGCGCGCACCACGGCCCCGCATCTTTTGCCCGCACCAACATCTGCATCCACAGCTGCGGCGGCATGTCGCCCGCCTTTCTCGCGCAGACCGCGCGCGCGCTCCCCAACGCCTTCTTCTCGCCTAGCGTGAGCGTGACTGCACGCTCTGGCGCCGCACGTGCAGTCGTGGGGGTTGTGCCGCGCGAGCGACTGCTGGTCGAGAGCGATGCGCCAGATGTGCGCGCCGTGACTCATCTGGTGTGGGCTGCTGCAGCGTGGATCGCAGAGTGTAGGGGGTGGAGGCTGGAGGGTGCGGAGACGGCCGAGTGGGAGCCGGGGGTGGAGGACGAGGACGAGGTGTTTGATGAAAAGGGACGGGTGCGGGCGCTGCGTGAGGACGAGGTGTGGGCTGTGAGGATGCTGGAGCGGAACTGGGCGCGCTTCATGGGGATGGACGTCTAGTGCAGGCTGTTTGCATGTATCATGTTGATTGTGACGGAGTGCATGTAGATGCATGTATCAAAGGATCAGTGTGACAACGGGATGCGGAGCCGCTGCGCGGCGCGCGCCAAGTCGACGCGACTGACTTTAGTCCATCTATTAGTTCGCACTTCACACCGTCTGATGAGACTTTGTGGAGCCGCCTCGTTCCTCTGGCCCCTTTTTGATCCCTCTCCGTTCTTGACGTTCAACATCTCACTCACTACCGGCATCTCTTGACCTGGCCCGTCTTGGCCACCTCTGCCATGACGAGGAGTAACACTCCTGCTCAGCCGCCCGCAAAGACCAAGCCCCCACAGCCCGCCACGAAGAAGATGTCGGCGACAGCACCCGCAAAGAAAAAGTCGTCCGCGCACCCCACCGCCAAAGCCAGAGCGCGTGTCGGCCCGGCTTCGATTGTGGCCACCAGGATGTCCGACCCGCGCATGTCCAACCCGAACAAGCGTGGCAAGAGCGGCAGCAACGGCGGCAACGGCAGCACCGCGTCAGGCAAGAACAAAAAAGTCAAGCCGCACATTCTCGGTTTCCTCCCCGTCAAGGACCTCCCGTGCCCTCACCTACCTCCGCCGCCGAGGCTCACCAACCGCGCGATTCATGACCGCGTGTATGGCGGGTGGGAACTGCAGGGAAACGTGCCCAAGCACTCCATGGAGCTCGCCGGAGACCGCACGCTGGATCTCAACATTGTCTTGGGTATTGACCGGCGCTGCCCAGACCTCCCTATCTGGCTGGCGAATGTGAGTTTCCTGATGGTGGAGGTAGTGGAACCAAATATGTCTGACACACTCTCAGCAACTCTTGGTGGTGTTCGGAACCAACAGCTTTCTCGCTGCCGTCTGCGACAGGCTCGACCTCACGCGCGGGCTCTTTGGACCGGCGGTCGAGCAGTGCCCCGACTTTGGCTCCAACGATGGCGTAAAGTGCGGCCACGTCGAGGTGTTTGTGATGGGCCTGCACGAGTCCAACGGCCCAGAGGCCGCGTACAAGTTTTTGTGGACCATCTTTGAGGCGTATGGACCGTTCATCCTCAACCGCCTTGTCCAAAGCCGCTTTGCGCCCAAAGAGCCCATCCCGGCACAGTCTCTGGCCCGCTGGAAGGACGCGCTCTTCACGCCTCGCGAGGCCGACAGCGCGTCGCACTCGCACCCGCACGGGCACCGTGACGGGCCGTGGCTCATCGACGCGCTCCACCTGCATGGTCAAGAGATGGGCCGCCCATTCGAGCTTGTGCGCACGGAACATGATTCAGGCGAGCACCACTGCACCGTCGTACAGGACACTCTCGCTGTGGCTACTGCTCACGCTGCGACCCGGTACGCCGCGGGCCTTCAGGCCATCTCCGCGACCCTAACCCAGCTCGACTATTTCGGCCGCCACGCCGTCGACCTCCTCTACTCGCACTCTGAGACGTCGGGTACCGAGCTCGAGTTTAGCGTGAGCATGGATAAGCGGACCGGCGTATGGACCGCGTTCGTGCACTGGGGCAACGGGGACGAGTCTCGCGTCGTCGGACGCGGGATGCGTGCGAGCTCGGTCGAGGCGCAGAACGCTGCGGCTGTGCTGGCTGCGCGCCGCCTGGGGCTGTCGCTGGTCGAGTTTGCTCATAAAAACAGCGTGGGTCTGGAATATCCAGGGGGACAGGGGACTGACCAAAAGAACCCCAAGGCTGAGGAGAGCACTACCGAATACACGGTGGAAGTCGGCACGGGACGCACGGTTGTGAGTGCCAGTGTAAGCGTCTCTAACGGCAGATTGTCCTCGGCTAGGAATGTCATGACTTGTCCAACACTCTGTATCGTATCATGTACTCTTCTGACGAGATGGAACACGTCCTTCATGTCCTGGTTTATTCCTTGGGATTGCGCTTGCTAGCAAGCAGGGCCTTGCCCTCGTCGGCAAACCGGTGCAGCACCTCAATCTCGGCCGCGTCGCCAGAGGGTCCCTCGGCCGCACCCCCGACCGCGCTGCCAGTCGCGCGGAGATCTGCCGCAATGCGCTCAAACAACGCCGCCAGACCCTCATGCGGCAGTCCCATGGTCTTGGACTGGCCCGGCCGGTCGAGCGACGAGGCGACAAACGACGAAATCTCCTCCATCTCTGCGATCCAGCGGTACGCCTTTGTCGGCATGTCGTAAAAGGTAAAGCCGAGGCTCTGGAGCAGCTCGGGGCGGGAGCTTGAGAGTTCCTCCATGAGTGCGCGCGCAGTAGCTGGCGAGTGCGCGTTGGCGGCTGCGTGTCGTCAGTACGGACAGCCTGCCGCGAGGGTGAACCCGAACTCACACAGCACAAGCAACGCAGCAAGCCCGATCGATCCCTTTGCCAGCCCCCCATAACACATCTTGAGCGCGCTCGCCGCGCCAGCCTCCGCATCGCGCATGATCTTGACGCGACCCCACCGCTCGCCCTTGTCGCCGCCGAGCACGCGCGCCGCGGCGTCCAGCTGCGCCGCCCACCGCGCATCCGCTGCCATGTAGACTGTCGGCTCGCGCGCGTCCG